GTCAATCAGAGACAGAAATGCTGGTCTATTTGTTTTGTCATAAGTGGAAAAACGAAGCAAGGAACGCATCGAAAAGGTCGAAAATCATAAAACAAACTATGAGCAAAGATACAAAGGTTTGTCTGGGTTTGTCAAGATACTGATGATGATGATTACAAATGTTGGCTATTGGCTTTACGTTGGTATCAGATATATTAAAAAAACTAAAAAAAATAAACAGAGGTAACCAAGGAAAAGGGAAAACACCGAAGCACTTGTTTAAAAAAATTTATATACCTACAAATAAATTTTTCTAGAATATCAAAAACATACTTAAGTGCGAAATACTTTTGGATTATTTGGATGATGCAGTATGTAGATAGGTTTTATTTGAGAAATAATCATGTATATAACTTTTTGTCGCTATTTGGTATACATATTAAAGGGTATTAAAAAGAGACTGCAAGAAGAATTATATATTCTACTTTCTACCAAATCTTTTTAATTCAACATTAAAAACTATTTAAATAGAAATGAACTCAAACATGACTCTGTTACTGTTATAGCTATTAAATGCTTTAGGTACTCATCCGTTTGTAGTGACAAAAATTGTTTAATGTTAATAGTTGTGTATAATTTAAATGTTATGGGAAGTCTAGAATTATAGGTGTTTTACTGCTTAGAACCGTTTTAGTCAATTTTTGCTCTTGGCGGAGTAACAAGAGATGCCGTAGTATGCTATAAAATTTAAAATTGTGAAAATTAATGATTTAGTTTATTTTAAGTTGTATGTTGACTTCAACAAAAAATATTTCTATTAACTTTTGTTTAACACGCAAGGTTCTACTTCAGATTAGGGATTAGCGATCATTAAAAACATGTTTCTGGTTGAAAAATATCACTAAAATGTCTGTAAGATCGCAAGTATGTTGTAATCTATATTTTAATAATAAAAATAGTAATTTAGAACATTTAAAGCAAATTTATTAATAAAAAAAATTCTCGGAGCATATGACAAGCTGATCAATTGCATTGCTTCATTTCCTTTAATAAAAAATCACTTAATATGAATGGATCGATAATAAACTCACAGGAATCCAATTGTGTAGCACTTCCTCGTTCTTAGTAGTAACAAAAGCAACCATCACATCAGATCTTCAGCCAGGTGGGTTTCAATAACGGATTGATTGACATTTATGTCAAGTCCATCATGTTAGTTACGGCCGTTTAGCGCGTGCCATATCTTGCTTCTTCTAGTTCTTGCGATGTTTGAAAGATTAGATGAAGATTTTTCCACCAGTGGTGTGTATTGATGACTGCAGTGGGTGATAAAATTAAAGGTACTCGGTGAAATTTTTTTAATTAGTCATATTTAAAAAAATAGATCGCTTAATATTAATACAAATTAAAGAAAGACATAATTTAAAAAATCTTATTCAAGTCTATGCACCAATAGCCGATAAAGATGACAATGACATAGACCAATTCTACAACAATTTAGAAAAAATGGTGAAAACAATAAAAAAGCAACACATTAACATAATAATGGGTAATCTTAATGCCAAGGTGGGTCAAGGTAAGGTAGGAGAACAAGTAGGAAAATATGGGCGTGGAAACAGAAATGACAGAGGAGATCGATTGATTTAATTTTGCCAAAGCGAAGACTTCGTAATAACAGACACCTTTTTCAAATTACCTCCTGGACGGTTATATACATGAACATCTCCACAACATACCAAAGAAAAAATAGTGAGAAATCAAATAGACTACGTTATGAACGCAAGGAGGTATCATAATGCTGTTAAATGTACTAAGACTACCCAGGAGCTGATATAGGCTCAGATCAGGACCCGGTAGTTACTGTGATATAGCTGAGATCAAAAAAGATAAGAAGACCACACAGAAAGGCACTAGATTTAAATAAACTTAGAATTAAAAATATACGAAAAGAAACAGGAGAAGAAATAAATGAAAACCTCTGTTCAGTGCAGCAACAAACTAACGATACAAATAACGTTAACCAAAAACTAAAGTACATAAATACAGCTATACAAACGAAAGAAACATCTTACAACAACAACAACAAAGAATAAGGGGTGGATGATACAAGATATACTAGACTAGATGGAACAAAGAAGAAAGACGAAGAATAATCTAGACAAATACAAATAAATAAACACATAAAAAAGAGAATACAAGAAGCCAAAGGGGCGTGGATTAAAGAACAGTGTGAAGAAATGAAAACCTATGAGAAAAAATAATATGAGTTCAATACGCACAAAAAAGTAAAAGAGATAACAGGAAGCATAAAGAAATGCCAAATGGGTAAACTTAAAGACAAAGATGGAAATCTTATTGTAGATCTAGAGAATAAAATAACAAGATGGACAAAATACCTGAATGAATTATTTGAAGACGATAGAATCAACTTAACTCAGATAATCTATGCAACTGGGCCAGACATATTGAAGGAAGAAGTAGTATACGCAATATTTTACTGTATATTTCACTGTGCACTGACGAGATGTTGCTTCTCCAACCTTTCGTCTTTATGGCCCTTGTATCGAAAGAGACTAAGAAAAAAATTTTGATTCGCCATTGTAACTCAGTTCTCTATTCGTTTTGAAGAGTTTGGCGTGATTGCCCACTAATAACTCAGCAGATCAACTCATAGTAGACTGCTTACATTTACAAATACGCACCTAAAACAAATAATGTTTTAAAACATGAAACTTAGAGCTTCTTTGGGCATTTTTCTAGACGAAACGTACGAATCACCAGCATCTCTGCGATGTTTTCTAATATTCTGCTTCCACTCATCAATGTTAAGCATTCGGGTTTTCCCTCTGTTAATTTGGGTAATCACTTCTTTTTCTTCTTGCAGTACCGTCTCCTATCGGAGGTTGGCTACCCTCACAGCAATCTTTACTTTGTTGGCTGCAGCTCTGAACAACTGTATTGAACTGCATCCATACCACTCCCTTAAATCACTGACTTATGTCAAATTACTCGATTGAAAACGTTGACTTACAAAACAGGTGCAGAAAATTTGGCGCGAAACACGACAAACTTTAACATATACAAAGTTATTACACCTGAAAGCTGAAGGTTGACTAATTTTCAAACTACAAAACAGGCAAGTTGTCTCATAATACTCCCCATAGTCAGCAGTACATTATTTTGCACATATAGAACGTTGTTTCATGGGAAACCCACATATGAAAATATTGGCGGTTGCAACGTTGTTCCAGCATATCATTGTATCCGGAGGTGTAGAGTTGTTTTATTTATCGGAATGACTACATTGAGCGTCATAGACGAAAGATGATTCTTGATAACTGGTCATCTTAAGACAACTAACTTTTACTTATGGCTTCACGTGCCCCACCTCGGGCAACTGCGTTGGTCTGCAGGCTAAACTAAGTAAAGGTAGCTAGATATGGCCATTATACGTTTATTGGCCATCGACTGCGAGTGGAGGAGCTAGAGGAACTAGCTAAAGGCAGAAGAACTGTGGAAGCGGTCAACGGCATAGAGATGGGAAAGAAAGATTGGAACAACACACCTCATTTAAGATCCGGATTGCATAAGTCCTTTTAGAATTAAATCGCTATGCTTGCAGCAAAATTTAATTTCGGAGTAAGCAACTCAATCTGATCTTCAGGAGGAGCAGTTACAAGTATAACAAAAAGATTAAAATGCAAAGAAAACATCAGAATAGGCACATGAGACGTGAAAACCTTGGCACAGGAAGGTAAAATCCATAATGCAATAAAAGAAATGGCACACATGAAATTGAATATTCTAGAAATAAGCGAAGGAATAAGGAACACTGTGTCTTCTATTCTGGAACAGATAAGGGCAAACATGAATTAGATGTCGGCATTAAATTACCAAAAGAAGTGACAAAATCCGTAGGCAACTTCATCTTAATCTCAGCAAGAATGATGCTCATACAACTGAAAGCAAGACCAATCGACATCAACATAATTCAAGTGTACGCACCTATAACAGAAGAAACTGAAGAAAAGATAGAAGAACTATACCATAACATTAATTAAGTCGTGAAAATGTTGAAAAAGTAAGACCTAACAATTGTAATGGATGACTTCAACAAAACAATTGGGGCCAGAAAAACAACATCTGCAGTTGAACCATTGTACACCTGGAAATCTCCACCGGATTTTGTGAGGATTGTAAGAAATCAGATTGATATCATGCTAGTAAATAAGAGGTATAGAACAGCTGTATATTTGTCAAAATATATCTAGGGGAAGACATAAATTCTGATCATGTACCAGTTGTAGGTAATTTTAAAGTCAGAATAAAGAAGGTTACAAGTAAGTCAATGAGGAAGTATGATGCTAGAAAACTGAAAGATTCCAATGTTCAACTGAAAGTGAGTAAAAATCTCAATACAACTGTGCTAAAATGCAGAAACTATAAAAGAAGAACTAACCATAATACAAGAAATAGTAAGAGAAATAAAAGAACAACGACTGAAAAAAGATACAGAGCAACGGAAATCGTGGATGACCGATGAAACACTTGAAATTATGGATCAGAGAAAAAAAAGCAAAGAAAATGACCAAGATGATAAGAGAATACATACCATCGTCAGAAGAAAGAGAAGAGAAGCCAATGTGAAACAAAAAACAGAACGATCTCAAGAAATAGATGAGTATCAGACCCGATATGATAACTTCAATGTCCATCGAAAGGTGAAGGAAATAGCTGGAAAGTTCTGAAAACGCAACGGCGGAAAAATAACAGATGATGAAGGTAATCTTGCCATAACCAAAGAAGATAAAAAGAAAGAAAGATGCCTACGTAGTCAGCAATCGACTTACATTGTTTACTTTCTCATAAAACGTTCTACTGTTATTTTTGATACATAAAAATGTAAGAACATACTAAACAGGTGAACAAAGTGAACATAAAGTAAGAAAGGAGTATAAGAGATATTTTATAAATGGCAATAGAATGAAAGCTTAACGATTATGTTGTTAGTAAACAAATAATTAATTTGACAATAAAATAATTGTTTATTAGAACTAATTACAATATAATAATAATTGACTACCCATATAAAATATAACTCACTAAATTACTACGCAGATAATTATTAAAATCTGATGTATTTAATTGCTCTATTTTTAGGTTTAGTCTCAAAAACTTCTATTTCTTCTACTTCTTTCGGCACGTCTCGTTCTCCTTTTAACTCTTTCAATCTCTTCTCTAGTGCTGTCATCTTAACTTTTATTCTTTGTGCTGTGCACTCCATTTCAGCGAAGGTAAAATCGACATTCTTCTTTTTATTTGACCATTCCTTGATCCTCTCTAAGCAATTACAGTCGAATGGATTCGAATCTATGTGATTCGTTTCTGCTTTAAGTATTTTATCTAAACTACCATCTAAACATTTAATATTATTTTTGTTGAGTCTTAAATCGTTAATTTTTATTCCCGTTAAAAGGTTTTCATCGAAACTTTCTAGAACATTGTTATCTAACCACAAGTTGTTAATTCTGTGAAGATCCGAAAAAGCTTCAGGATCTATCTCACTTATTTTATTATGACTAAATACCAGATTAATACTAAGGTCTATTTTTCCATACTTTTTTTCACCTGCCATATTTTTAAATCCATGAGCTGGTAGCTTTTCGATGGAATTATTCTGAACCGAGATTCTTGTCAATAGCGGAGTATTCTTGAGCCATTCTGGATTCCATTGCGTTATAAAGTTATCAGCAAGTTGAATGTTTAAGAGTTCGGGCATATTATCAAAGGCCTGTGGATGGATGGTTGATATTTGATTGAGGCTAAGGTCTAGTGTAGATATTCCTAAATGGGAAAATACATCCTTTGCTATTGACTTAATGGCATTTCCTAAAATTAAAAAAAAATGTAAATATATTTAAATATATATAAATATATATATATATATATATATATATATATATATATATTATATATATATATATAAATTTACAAAGTTTATAAACTAAATATTGTAACAAATATAAAAAAAAATATACGCAAAATAGATGAAACGAATTACAAACCAATAAGTGATAAAAATAAATGGCAGTAGAAATAAAAAGCATAGATGTAGACGACGTTTCTATTAAAAACACGGTTACGAATGGCATGGTCTGCAGGAAGCTATTACCACTCCTATGGAACATAGTTCTAGACACCCTGGTTGACCAACTTGGCAGCAACGGGTTTTACACAAGAGCCAATGTAGACAACATTGCTATTTTTCATAGCGATAACTTTGAGACCACACTATGTGAGAGATTATAAGTTGCTCTCCAATTAATGGAAAGATGGTGCAAGGAACCAAGGAATAGTATCTATAGATATTAAGAAAACATTGATGGTCTTCTTCACCAGAAAAAGAAGAATTACGGGATTTGTACCGCCAAGAATTCGAAACTACAATCTAAACTTTTCTGACAAGGTGAAATACGTTGGTACTAACGTTGACACGAAGTTAACATGGAACTCACACTTAGATGGTAGAGCTGAAAGAGCTTATATTGCCTATAAGCAGTGTCAACGAACGTTTGGATGCACTTGGGGCCTTGCGCCCAGGGTAATCGCCCAGGTCTACACTGCTGTCATTAAACCCATGCTAACTTATGGACCTATTGCTTTGGTACCAAAAGTGGTACAGGCAACAGCGATTAACAAACTAAACCATATTTAGCGGATGGCTTGCATAAATAAAAGAGGTGCTATGAAAACAACACCAACTGCTGCAATGGCTTTCGTCATTCGTATCACCCAATAGACATAAATGTCAGAGACGTAGCGCTGGTGACAATGATGCGACTGCACTCAGCTGGTGCAAACCTTGATGTAGGAATAAGACAATTGAAATTCGTTTTAGGCGGGGATAGCTGGATGCCTTACCTCTGCTACAAGCAGACTGCGACTCAGTTAAACCAAAAATGTCTTTAACAAACCCTACAAAATTAAAACAAGACAGTATAAGGAGACAGAAAGGCAAATGCGTATTGCATATACACCGATGGTTCCAAAATGGAATATGGCTCAAAATGGAATATACTCCAGATCACTGAACCTAGGAATAAAATAAGGTAAGGACAAAAATGCCAGCGAAGGTCAGACAACACTGGTTGGTATCTCCATAGCCACAAAAGAGATAACTCAAAAAGGTGTATACATATAATTCATATTACATTTTGCGCTTGGAGAAAGAAATTAGAGAGGAGACACCCATAACAAAAAAGCAACTAGAAAGACTCCCAAAGAGGTGGAAGAGACAGCTGAACCTCAAAATCATAAGAGGTGAGACGTTAGAATAAACACAACTAGACCATACAAGAAGCAGAAAAAGCGTATAAATTCAGCTGATTATTAATAAGTGAATTCAAAAAGAGCAAAACTGAAATACAAGAGTTCGACTTAAACTGTGAATTTTTAGTCCCTCTTTGGAGGAATTAAAGAATACACTTTGATATAAACAATTCATTATCTGAAACTTACCTTTCAATGACAGTTTTCTCAGGTTAGGAACATTACTGATAGCTCCAGATTCAACTTCTTCAACATCACAGTATTCAATAACCAATTCGTCCAACTGGTCTAAGTCTGCCAACGAGCCCTCAGTAAGTACAGGTATATGTTGTTCCTTCATTTCAATGGCATCATAAACAGTTCTTTCTGGCAAAAAATCTACAAGTTTGTTTCCAGACGGGATTGTTTTCTTGAACTTTTCTGTATAAACACTAAATCCTTTGAATGTGACATCCTTAAAAGTCACTTCGGCACTTTTGCTGAAGCAAAAAGGAACAAATAATAACAGAAGAGTCTTAATTACGATCATTTTTACTACTATATTTTTATGAAGTGTTCAGATTTATTTATATAAAATGTGTCTTATGATTCCGTGAAATATTTTGCTTGGGAAGAAGTTAGGGTTATCGCATGATAACTTTTACTTATTGGTAATTTAACGCTAAGAAAAATAATTTGTTTCTGGGAAGAATATGTATATTATTATATTAAGTACAATATTATTTTTCGCAACAAATAAAAATCGCGGGGTTTCCAAAAATAAATATTATTAAATATTATATCAAACAGTTATGCTATACAATGCGAAGCAAATGTATGGAATGCTTAAATTATATCCAAAGCGGATAATTATGAAATTTGTTTTGTAGAGATTCTGCCAGAAAGAAATAACCAGAAGAATAAGATGCAAAACCGAAACAACAGACGCTGTCGAACATGCATTGAAATTAAAATGGAAATGGGCTGGACATAATGAAAGATATCAGGATGGAAGATGGAATAAAGAAATTGGCCGCTGAAGACCATATACTGCAAAAAGGTCAAGAGGTCGACCGCAAATGAGATGGAAAGTTGACATTGAGCAAAGCGCAAGTCCAATGTGGAAAAGACAAACAGAAGACAGAGACAAATGGAGACGAATGGGAGAGGCCTATATTCAACACATGAATAGATTTTGGGCTATAGATAGATAGATAGATAGAGATTCTGTAAAATATGTAATAATTGTATAGTATACAGATCTCCTGTTTTTCTGATAATGCAATTTATGTTAAATGACTTCATAATATCAATTTCTATGTATGCGGCAGAGACCTTAAGCATAATAATATCATCATTGAAAAAATAGTAACAAAGAAAAGTGAAAAGGTCTATCATCATCTTTTTGACCATTGTTATTTCAGTTAGCTTAACTGGGTTTCTATTAAATTCTTCATTTAATAAACTGTCAAAGTACTTTTCAGTGCTTTGACTTGCTTTTCTGGGACTAGTACTTTATTGTTTTCATCTCGCATCTCGCAAGTCAAGAAAGAAATAAACAAACTCAACTAACGAACTACCCCAGGTTATGATTTAATCTTAGTACAAGTACCATTACTATGCTAACAATCATATTTCGCATGCTAAGCTTATCATACCTTCTAAAAATATGGAAATTTGCTGAAATTATTTTGATCCTTAAGTCAGGAAAAGTGCCAAATAAAGTAGTATCTTATCGACCCACCAGACTACTCACAACCGTAAGCAAACTTTTTGAAAGATTGCTGCTACAAAAAATATACGCAGATAATGAATTCTTAATACTATAAATTTATTTGTAAAATTAAAATGGCATCGGTGTCAAAAAATCGAAAACGTGAAGTAAACACAAACAAAAAATGATGTGAAAGGGAGGGTGTTAGATTCATAGTGCTATACGAAACTGAGGAAGCGTTATAGAATGTACGGATAAAGAAAAAATAAGGATGCTAGATTTGCGGCATTTTTTCTTTTTATCCCTTTTTTCTCGATTTCAAGCTGATGTATCAACATATCAGTAACCACTAGAACACCGTTCACAATCACTTTCGCCATCTTCAAAATGGCTACATTTACATGGTTACCAAATGGTACAAGTCCATTTGGTCCAAATTGGAATCCAAGCATTCTTGAATCGTATTAACCCGCCTTTAAGAACATTTTTGTCTCAAATATTATCACTCCATGATTTTTTTTTTAATCTTCTTCCATCATCTAGGTGAGATGGTAACCACCCCCAGAGAAAAAGCATCTATTGGCATAAGGTAGATTTTAATCATTAACTATTTTATACCTACTGTCAAAATTTCAAGCAAATTATTGCATAAAAAAATTCTGAGCAGAAAGCTGTCGTATCCTGGAATAATTAAAGGTAATCGAAATTTTTGACAATGAGAAATTTTATGTATACTGAAAGTTTTAATCTTTTCTAAGAAACTCAGGCGTTTCTTAATTATACTATTGAATACTTAAATAGATTATATAGGTACCACATTATTGGTTTATTATAATACAAATACAATATTTAAGAAAAGAAAACTTCAAATCAAACGAATTCTTTGCCACACGTTTATGACCATATATTGGTGATTATCATCTGTGGCATAAAAAATGTGTTATTAATAAGTTTTAAATGGAGTATAGTTGTTTTTACGTACATTATTAGGACAAAACAACATTAAGAGTAGCCAAACTGTTTGTTTAAAAACTTTGTAGGCTATAGTTTGAGTTTAAAATGTTCTTTTTTCCTTCCTTCGTTTTCTTTTTTAAATAAAGAAAAACTGAACTTTCAATCCACGTAGAATAATCCACCTAGAAATTGTTTTCAAAAAAGTATTTAGGAATTTATCCAGAATTTTTTTTACATTATGATATTAGATTTAATTTTGTAGATCATTTTAATTTGAATAAATATTATATTTCAATGTTTCACGTAAATATTTTTGTTTTGTTTTCGAGAACCCAGACTTTGATAACCTCTCCAATTTTCTATCTTTTATAAAAATTTCTTGAATGTTAATATTATCTTTTAGTTGCGATATATCCATAGAAGGGGTTTTCAATGATAAAATAAATAGGACAGTGGTAAATTTATTACAAGGATAATATATTTATAAATTAACAACTATACCTTTGAACAAGACAATGAATTCACATATCTTGAATCGCTAGTAAATACAACAAACACAACAAGCGACGAAATAAAAAGACGCATAGCAATAGCAAACAGAACTGTTCACGGTCTCCAGAAACATTTAAAAAATAAAAATATAAAACGTGCAGTAAAGCTTAATATATACAAGACCTTAATAAGACCTATTTTGATATACAAGGCTAAAACATGTACCTTATTCCAAAAGAATAAGAGACTTCTTGGTATTTTTGAGAGAAAAATTCTTGAAAAGATTTTTGGGGCTGTAAATGAAAATGGGCTATGGCGTCGAAGATATAGCTTTGAACTACATCAGTCATATACCGATCTAGATATTGTGAAATTCGTTAACTTGCAGAGACTTAGATGGGCTGGACATATTGCTAGGATGTCATATCGCGAATACACAAAGAGATTAACATTTTCAAGTGGTCAAAAGATGGAGGGAACTTACCAGTAATCGGCAGGAGTTGCAACTTTTTTGTCAGCAGACCAAAATCCACAACGGGTTGTCGAGTCACCTATGATGATAATATATTTATAATAGGATAAGTGTTTTATGTATTTTAAAATCATAAAATAAAAATTATCCAGATTTACACCACTTAAAAATATTGGAAATTTTGGATTCGGCACAAGAAACACAAGAGGAGAAAAACTGATGGAATTCCTGGAACAAGAAAACATGTATGTTATGAATACCTTTTACAAAAAAAAACTACGTATAAGAAACTACATGAAATTACACTACATGTAATGTTACTATATAAATAAGTCACTTATAACCAAGAAATAACACAAGAACACATAACATAACATACAATGAAAAATAGAAATATCAAACAAATATAGTAATATATTACATAAAACTCTAAAATTAAAGTTATTATTTTTTTAAGAATTCTAATTTTTGTAAATACTGCATGTTTAAAACTTTTTTATTTACAGGGTGGAGTAATATAAATATTTAATTTAATTTATCGGCATTGCGATTGGGCAAAATGGATAAGACAGAAGAAAAAAGGCTTTGGCAACTCAAGGAAGAAGTCAGTACAGGATCATCCGAATCTGATGACGCTTACTCAGAGCCTGAGGCATTCAGTAGTGATGATAACATCTCAGATCGTGATGATGATGATCATATTGGTTGGTCCAGTGACCACCACCCTATTAGAGACGATAGTAGTGATGAGGATGACATTGTTACTGACCTCGATTTGCAACCAACAGAGGATATCTGGTGTGATACCACAACAGATATTCCTGATTTTCAGTTTGATAATGCTGGTAGTGGTATCCAATATGTGTTTGAAACTACACCGACTGCAGCCGAATGTTTTGAAAAATTTTTGGGATGATGACGTTATGAACACGATTGTTACTTCTATGAATGCATATGCTGACATTTTGAATACCACCAAAAGACCACACAGACGAAATTATAGATATAAAACTATTAAACCAGTAACTAAACCTGAACTCAAGGTATTCCTAGCTCTGTATATCTTACAGAGTCACTCCAAATGTCGTTTAATAAGAAAAAGGTTCTCGATGGATCCATTATATTACAGCCCAGTTTTTCATAGAAAATTGTTCAAAAAGTTCACAGCCCAGAACTTCTAAGGTATTTTAGTTGGTCTTACGGACAAATTGACGAAAATCTTGATGACAAACTGCGAAAGGTTACACCACTTTTGACTAGATTATTATCAAACTTTAGAAGTGCCGTGGTTCCTCCAGAAAATTTGTCCTTAGACGAGTCACTAATGCTATTTCGAGGTCGATTGAGCTTTCGGCAGTATATTAAAAGTAAAAGCGCCAAGTACGGAATAAAGTTCTACTCTGTTTGTACCAGCGATGGTTACGTGCTAAATTTGAAAATATATTCCGGAAAAACAACGCAAGCGACTGGTGTACCAAAACTCGAGTAACTAGTTCTCTCTTACACGGAGTCATACCTAGATCGTGGACATCATATTGTCATGGACAACTATTATAATAGCCTCTCTCTTTCTAAGATTCTTTTTTGTCGAAAAACCCAAACAACTGGTACCTTACGAAAAGATCGTAAAAGAAATCCTGCCACAATCGTAAAAGCCAAGTTAAAGAAAGGTGAACACCGTTGGAGCCGATGTGGTCAAGTATACGTTTCAAAATGGAGGGAAAAAACGGGATGTTATTTGCATTACCACGAAATATCATCCCAAATTGATTACCGCTAAAAACAGGTATGGCGTTGAAAAGGTAAAACCTGAGGAAGTAGCTAATTACAACAAGTTGATGTATGGTATTGACCGTAGTGACCAGATGATTAGTTATTATTCATCTCCGAGAAAAAGTATTAGATGGTATAAAAAAGTAATGTTCCATCTACTAGAAATTTCTCTTTGAAATGCATTTTACATAAAAAGAACATTAGACACACAGTTATCGTTCCTTCAGTTTCGCGAAGAAATTGTAAAAGAATATTTAGGAATTGATAAAGATAAGCAAGATGAAAGAAACTTGGTGAAGACGGGACCATTACATGGTGGTAAAAGGCCACGACTGTATCAACAAATAGCAAACAGGAACATTGATTCTGTCATGCACTTTCTCGATAAAATACCAAACCCAACAGATCCAAATAAATCCTACCATTTGAGATGCAAACATTGTACATCAAGATCTATACGAAAGGTGATCAAGAACCTTTGTAAGACGTGCCCCAGCAGGCCAGCTCTTTTTGTCGAACCTTGCTTCGAAGATTACCATAGACAATAAAATTGTAGTTGTTAATCAATTCGTCCCTTCCCCTCCCATTTTTTGTGTGACGGGAAACGCCGTCTTGTATCCAGCTCACGAAAATAGACTTTGCTAGGGACAAGACGGTATTTGCCGCTTCCTATTTTTTTGTCAAAAATATATGTTTTTTCATAATAAATTATGCTACCTATTTTTAATTTAATTTTCGATAAAATAACGTTCTTAACAGAGGTGCGTTTCTACGAACCCTTTGTTATGCCATAGTGTCCGCGAACGTGTTCAAAATCAAAATCAGAATCGCTACTTACATATAGGGACAGATTCCCTACATCATCGGACAGGACCAGTACGTTTATTATTGCGTTATTATGGTTATTATGCGTAAACGTAAATAATATTTATTACTATAATACATAAATATTTAAGCTACCCATCATTTCATAACCTCTCTACTAATAAAAATAAGAAAAAAGTAAAATTTTGCAAAATAAAATTGCAAATTATTCGATTAAATAAACAATTTACAAATGAACTAATTAAATTTTTATAATATATGCAAAAAGTTACCCTAAATTAAAAAAAAAACATACATTTTTATTGATTGGAACCGGAGATATTGCGACTTTTATACAATAAAATATAAAGTTTTTAAATTAATTTGAAATATACAATTATTTAGAGATCAATTTCCGAAGTGGAAATTGAAACAAAAAATAAATGTATTTTAAACTAAAATTGTGTGCAATTTCAATTAAAAATAGTAGATCTTTTAATTTAAAAAATGTGCAATTATTAAGATAATAATTTCATTAGCAGTTCCTCTACTTATATTAATGTATATCCTAATCAAAGAGATAAAATTGATTTCGTTAGGATTTGTAAGCATTTCCGGTCATTTTCCCATTCCACAATAGTACTGAGAGCCTAGCCGAAGTGGGCGTCTCTTTCTAAACATCGATGAAAAAAACATGATACCTTTTTTCATTCATATACTTGTACAACGCATCTTAATAATAGTTGAAGCATAATTGATTACGAGCAACGCCTACTATTGTTTTGTAACCTCTCATTATTGTCTACAATATCAGATACGAAGTTAAGATTACGGGAAGAGTACAGGGTGTTGCAAATTTAAAGAAACCACAAATGTGGCTGTCTGTTGAAAAAAGACATAATTAAAATTCAAATAAGCATTAGAAATACGGCAATATTTTTATTTCTTTTCCTTTTTGGTGTTCCAAGATCTTACTGATGCCGTAGATCTTGTTAAAGCAGCAGAAAATACCATAGTCCTCGGAGATTTTAACACAAAAATCGGCAAACGACGCTAAATATTGTGGGGGATTAGCTTGGGGAACAGAAATGAACGTGGAGATCGACTTGTCCAGTTCTGCCAAGAACCCGATTCTATTGTATCGAATACTCACTTCGAATTACCACTTAGAAGACTCCACACCTACAAATCAAATGCAGAATCAGAAAATAAAATTATTAGAAACCAAATAGACTTCATTCTAATGCAAAATACATTAAGAAACTGCATTAAATCAGCTAAAACTTCAGGTGCTGACATTGGATCTGATTACAATCCCATAGTAGCTGTAACCTAATTATAATTAAAAAAGGTGATCAAAAAGAAGTCTCGCAAAAATATTAATAAGTATAATCCAACCACAAGACGAGAAATTTAAGAAAAAGTTTCAAAGACAACCGAACGAAAAAGGAAATTTAGGAAAGGAATTTAAAAAGCAATTTAAAGTCAAAAAAGAACGTTTAGATAAAAAAAACATATTTGATTTAATGAAGCAACGGCGACTAGCAAAAAATAACGAAAAACTTTATAAAAGTCAACAGACAGCATTATAATTCAGCATTTTGTTTAGTTGGGCTTAAACTCTTCTTATGAAATATCTCATTTTACTAGGTAGAATTCTAGAGTTATAACCCAACTTCCACATAGATTTATTTTAACAGAGTAAGTATGGTCATATAATTTTGTCTTTTCTTATGTCTCTCTTTCTAGAAACATTTTTAACACTCTACATATTGTCGGCTTGCTCCAAAAATTTTATAGCATCTATTAACAAATTCCTTCAGTCTTCAATATCTTCATCACTGTTGGTTCAGGAAGGAACTTCGTCTACAGCTCATTTCGATGTTGACAAAAATTTGTACCAACCGTGAAATTCTTATGGAATGTATTATTTTTGAATATAAATTTTAAAGGGATATTTTTTTAAAAGAGTTTGAAAGAATTTAACCAAATACTTGAATTACTTTGAACTCTGAATTATTTCTGGTTTACTTTTTTCATATTTTAGGCATTGGATTTTGACTCAATTTACTGGGATTTTACTGTATTTTTGTTCCTGTTTTTTTATTAATTATGTTGATAAATCTATAAGGTCTTTAAATTCTAAAAAACTTATCTGACGAACTTTAGAGCTCATACTTTTTTTGTTTTGGACACTTATCTTTGTCTTGATATAGCGATTCTAAAAATATTATACCAGTCCTGAATGGTATAAGCAGGAACGTATTTTTTTGCCTTTTCTATAGCACTGTGCATGCTGTCCATCTTCATAAACGTGGCCACTTTTAAGTAACTCGTGCTCTATAATTTCTAGGTTTGAAGTTTGTACCACATATAAAATTAGTGCTGTAACATTCTTGTTGCTGTTTTGTCCGCCACAGGTATCAGAATACAAGCAGAGCTGCTTTATTCCAGGTTTATAGTTAAATACGCAACTAGCTATTTCTGAACTGCCTCTTTTTCCTTGTAACTCTGTCCATCCATAGCAAAAGATATCACCTGGTTTATGTAGCTCACAAATGATAAAATTGTACATGCAAACTTTAAGATTGTAATACATAGAACTTACGTCACTCGAAGGCATTTGTAACACTGATTGCAAATTAAAGGTAATAACACATAAATGCCTTATGCTTCTGACATTTCTCCTTATCAGCTACTTTCGCATTCATAGAGTCTTCCTTCCCTATAATGTGTTGTACATAATCATTTTCAACAGCTGATTCTCCTTTTAAGGAATTAGATTTAGTGCAAAGCTGGCATTGGTCCTTTTCTGGCTTATAGAACAACAAGTTGTAATCGGTATAAAAAATCCTCCTGTAAGTAATTTCGCTTACATGTTTTAAATTTTCATTTAAAAATTCTTGTTTATATAAATTGTACATTTTTGTAATGATAAGTTGAGGGTCGAGATACAAACGTTAAGTTTCTTTTCAGGAATTTTAAGAGTCCATGACAGGAAACTTTTCTATACCATTTTTCACTGTTTCTATACTTTCTTGGACTGTCTTGTTGTGTGGAGTCTTCTTATCTCTATTGTCTTGTCGAACAAACTTTTTTCTCTCCCTTGCCTTTACATGCAGTATTAATCATATCGGCCGAAATGCATTTTCGAAAGTTTTAAGAAAAAAAAATGATTATTTAAATAATAAATTTTTGTATCTGTTCTTTATTTCCTTCAACTCTCTATTCGCAACCCTTCTCCTTAGTGGTATACATTCTGTTGTTTCAAGATGAAACTCTTTTTGCTTTAAATATTCACTATGCCATGAGTTTTGGCAAAGTGATTTTCTAAGTTCTTCTGAAAAATGTGCATTGCGCTGGAAATGGCATTTTTCGCAGTTTGATAACTTGATACCTTTTGGATTCAATTTTCTGTTTTTTCTTTAAATTTCTTTTCCATTTTGAAGGTTCAGCTTTCTTCCATCGACATCTTTTTTGCTTAATTTCTGTATGTTAATTGTTCATTTAATAAATTTTCTTCCATACCTGCCTCAGTATTTAAGACATTTTGATCTTGATATTCAAGACTATCTGTATTTTGTTTACTGTTGCTTTAAAAAGCTGATTAGACGACCAATTCAAATTTCGCAGCCATGACCAAAATACATGAACAAAGTTAAAGGAAATTTAAAGGTTTACAGAAATTAAAAATACAAACACAAATGCATTTAAAAACCGATTTCAACCCCAATACATTTACTATATTAAGATAATGGTCTTCAAATAATGTCAGTGGCAAGACCGAAAGATCTTTTTCTTTGGAAGTATTGGTACGCTACTGTCTTTCTAAAACATAAATAACAAGATAACGCTTATCGTTTTTTGTGGTAATTAACACTTATAAATAATATTCAATTCTTAGTAAATAAAATGGCGCTAATTTTATTATTCCTCGTGCTATTTGTTCACATTTCATCTGAAAATTTAGTTGATATTACATTTAGAAATGTCACATTTAATGGATATTTCGTGTTTACCCCCAGATTCAAACCAACCATCTTACTTGGAAATAACTTGAAGAATTTTATACCGAATATCATTTTTGATAACATAGAGTTTATTGATCAGAAGATACCAATTTTTTACAAAGATGCTATTGCTGATATAGATAGGCTAACTGAGTTAAACGTAGTAAATTGTGCAGTGGAAGAAATCAGGCCAGGAACTTTCAGAAATGTACCGAACTTAAGCAAGTTATCTTTTAGATGTAAGTTTTAATTAAATTACAAATAATGTTGCATATGTATAAGGGTGAGGCTGGTACAGTGGCCACCTTTCGAGTAAATTCAAAATAACTTTAATATAAATCACAATATATTAATGAGTATTAACTCAAACAACATCGAAGCACTTCTTAAGTTAAAAATGTACTCTGTAATCCCAAAAAAATACAGGTTATGCAAGAGTAACTAATTTTGCTTTTCTCAAAAAATGTGGACATTGTACCAAACTAGATTGTGCAGTGGCCAGAAAGGTAAGGTACAGTGCTCATTTTATGGCGCTTATATTTTTATTTATAATGTTCATAAAAAAGGAAAGTAATATTAATCTTTAACAAATATGATAAGATGATAAATCCGCTTTAAAAGTAAACAAATTTGCTATTCGTTGTATCGCTACAGTACTTTTTGGTTGGGTTAAAATGAGTTCAACATCTTCTTTTGTAATTGTGACAGAATATGTAACTGTAGGAAATAAAATATTGTATTCCGTGAAGCCTTAGAAAATTTACATTTTATTCTTTACCAAAAAATAAAAAAACGGGTGCGGCAGTCCTGTGGACTGTCGGTGGAAGTTATACTTCTATACACGCGTTCGCCGTTACAAATTTATATGGGAGTAAATCTGCACAATCATTAAATATTTAATGCTATAGGTAAGAGAGAGCAGAAAGAGAAAAATAATTAGGTATATAGGTATATGGTGCATCGTTGGCTGTGTATAAACATTTGTCTAGTAATAGGAGTATAGTAATTGAAGGATTTTATCAATATTTGAATGAAAATATATATTTTTATTTTCATATATGTATAAAAGTAGTTGAATGCCAAAAAATATTTTTACACATACTCAGTAAAATTCATTGTTTATTTTGATATTAATATAAAAATTACAATACAATATACTGTAACATAATTCAATATAATAATACAATAAACAAATTAAAATGCAATATTCATAAGTATTTAAAACTGCCAATATGCATAACTTACTTTCTTCTTCTTCTTACGGTGCCTTATCCTTAAGAATGTTGGCCATTACATTTGCCCATTTAATCTTATTTGTAGCAGCCCTGAATAGTTCTATGGAGGTCATGTTCGTCCATTGCCGTAGGTTTTTAAGCCAAGAGTTGCGTCTTCTTCCTGACTTTGCCTTCGATTATAAGTTGGAGCAGTTCATACTTTTGATTCCTTATGATGTGACCAAAATATTGTGTTTTCCGTTCTTTTATTATAAGCATAAGCTCTCTTTCCTTATTCATCCTCCGCAACACTTCCGCATTTGTCGTATGGCTCATGTAGGATATTCTGAGCATTTTACGGTAACACCAGAGTTCGAATGCTTGGATTCTTTTTTGTGTTGCTTCTGTCATTCTCCAGGCTTCAACACCATAGAGCAAGGTTAAGAAAACATAGCACTTAAGTATTCTAGTTCTCAATGAGATGCCCAGCTGGCGGTTGCATAGATCTTTTTGCATTTTGTAAAACATTGTACGTGCCTTTTCTAGGCGTATTCTTATCTCTAGTGAGTGGTCCCAAGTTTTATCAAGATTACTTCCAAGATACGTTGTTCTTGTTACTCTTTCCAGATCTGTTCCGTCGACATTGACCTTCACCCTTCTGTTTTGGTGCTTGCTGATGACCATGACCACTTTACTTAACTTACTTTACGAAGATAACAATAAAAAAGCAAGAACTCGGATTATGTTGTAAATTTTATTTTAAAATTTAGCATTTTTTCGTATATTACATATATTTAATAACATTAACGTGAGGTAAAAATTTCAAAAATAAAAAAGAAAATTCAAATTGGGATTCGAACTCACGTACACCAGCATATGAACCAAACACGTAAAAGATTTGCCAATTAGACATGACATTAACGGATTTCAAAATTGACATTTGTCTGTCATACAATGATTACTTTGAAATACAAAAGCCTAAAATACTTATGAATATTTAATAAATAATACAAAACATCAGATAAATCTTCTTTTTAAAGTGCCTATCCGTTCCGGATGTTGGCGATCATCACGACTATCTTTACTTTGTTAATCTTATAAATTGGAACTAGCACAAAAAAAATATTAACTCTTCTTCTTCTTCAGTGCCTTATCTGGTCCGGATGTTGGCGATCATCAAGACTATCATGGTTTTGTTGACTGCTCTACGAATCAGCTCCGCTGAGGTCATCCCAAAACAATTGTCGGAGATTTTTCAACCACGAGATACGACGGCGTCCCGGTCCTCTTCTGCCAAATACTTTACCATGCATAACGAGTTGAAGAATTCGATATTTTTCTTCGTTCCGCATCGCGTGGCTGAGGTACTCAAGCTTACGTTGTTTAATCAAATTAAGCACTTCTTTTTCTTTTGTCATGCGCTGTAGGACCTCAACGTTGGTGACATGGTCCACATAAGATATTTTTAGTATCCTTCTGTATATCCACATCTCGAAGGCTTCGATTCGTTTTTCAGTGGCTTGCGTCAGTGTCCAGGCTTCAACTCCATATAGTAACACTGGAAGAACGTAGCATCTCACTATCCGCATCTTGGTTCCCAAACTGAGATCACTGCAGTACAGCAAGGATCTCAACTTAATAAATGTAGACCGTGCCATTTCAATTCTGGATCTCACGGCTGATAACCATGAATTTAGTTTTCTTAATATTAAGGTTTAGTCCGTCTGTTACGCTCACAGTTCGCACTTGGTCTATTAAGGCCTGCAGATCGTTTAGGTTGGTTGCTAGTAACACAGTGTCATTGGCGTAGCGGATATTATTGATGTATGTACCGTTCACTCGGATTCCCATCTCTAGGTTTGTGAGGGCTTCAGTAAAAATCTCCTCAGAGTATATATTGAAAAGAGTCGGCGATAGCACATATCCTTGCCTTACTCCTCGCATGATCTTCACTTGGTCGGTCAGCTGGTCTTCGACCTTGACTTGAGCACGCTGGTTCCAGTATAAATTCATGATGAACCGAATGTCCTTCTCATCCATTCCTACTCTTTGTAGGGCGGTGACCATCTTCTGGTGCTGACAACGGTCAAATGCCTTGGCGTAGTCAATAAAACAAATATAGACACATATATATATATATATATATATATATATATATATATATATATATATATATATATCACAACTGACATCGCGGCATCTCTGAAGTAGGACTTGTAAGGTGAAAAGTGCTTCACGTGTACCCATGGAATTGCGGAATGCGAATTGCATTTCACCGACATTTTCTCATATACATATGAGACAATATTAACTCATAACAAATAAAATTAGTTTGGTTAGTGAACTTATGCTGCTTAACATATTTTAAAAATACAATTTTAAAAATTAGCTCATCCAATACATGTTTCTCATAAATTTTATAACATTTTGGAAAAAACAAAAACAATTGAGTTTATAAATAAGTTAGAATAGTGACCAATTACAAATAAGCCTCAATGTCATGAATGCCAACTTAAAATTTCCATTTTTGACAATTATATTGCCAAAAACTAAAATGTTGACAAGCACCAACACATGCCTTCCGTGGTCTGTGACGCAAAGTAACAATAAGTTTTTGTTTATGTGCGGCACGTGTCTCCGAGGGCATATCTCATAACCGACATAAGTAGCAAGAATTAAAAATTTGCTACCGATAGCTATTTGTTACACTTAAAACGACGTACAAATACCTTTTTTTTATCGCTACCGCAAGATGCGACGGTTTGACCAATTTTACTACCGCATAGTTGAAAAATTACGCACATGCCCCTGGGGATACGTAATGCAGTCAAGGTGTTTAATATTTGATTACACTTTTCGAGTGGAAGTTTCTTCTAGCGGCTTCCCACGATCGGCGATTCTACAGATCATTGCGGACAGCCGATGAGCACGAACGGCAACGCACCACAGACAGAGCTCTTCCTACGTTCCGTGATATTCCGTGTAGGTCTCTAATTTTGCTTCTTGCCATTTGTATGTTGACATTAAATTGTCTCTCTTCTTTTTTAAGTCTTTAATCGAAATAGTACTATTTTTCAATTGGTCGTTTATTCGGTTTCACGCATCGTATATATCGTTTCCTTCGTTATTATGCTCTGACGTCGTAGAATTCCATAAACTTGGTTCATTTTGATACAAATTTAAAAATAACTTCATTTGTCCATTCCATGTTTTAGCAAAAAACTTATAAAAAAACTGCAAAACAACTTTGACAATACTACAGACAACTACTCGTGTCAGCGAATGAACAATTTCTGACTTAACCTTGTCTGTTAAAACACAAACGCACTCGTATCTTAACTACCGACTGTGGATGGATACAACGCACCAGCACAGACGTGCACGCACCAGACCATTCCCACGGTGCGTAGGTGCGAGCTGGTCTGCGTCCGTCCGCAATATCGCCGATCGTGGGAAGCCGCTATTCCACTTAATGAGTGGTTTATTTTTGCAATTTTTAATTTTAGTTACTAGTTTTTTGGACTTGTTTTCATTTGGTACCAAAATTTAACACGTTTTTCTTTTAGATAACAAGCTTCGCCTAATAGAAAATGGAGTATTTAACCATCTCAATTTAACCACGCTGGACTTAAGCTCAAACGAAATAAGTGTTATATATTCCGAAGCATTTAATCACATGCATGAATTGTTTCACATCAACCTTGCCTACAACTTGATACCTGCGTGGAATACCAAATGGTTTAAAGATACACCAAATTTAAACATGCTATATTTCAAAGACAATCTTATAGAGGAATTACCCGCTTACAGTTTTAAAAATTTAAAGCGAAGTAAATTGGCGGGTCTTGAGTTGATTTTCTCAAATAATAAAATATCCAGAATAGATCCTGAAGCTTTTTCAGGAGTACGTCAGATAAACCAACTGTCTTTAAGTAACAATCAATTAGAATCTTTTGATAAAAATTTGCTTAAAAACGTTGTAGTTTGGGACTTAAGACTTAACAATAATAGCATCAGTTGTTTTGAGGGAGATCTAGATGAGATATTTAAAGCGCCTTACAACTATATTGAGTATAACCCTTTCACATGTCGTTGTCTACATCGTCTAAAGCATTGGTCTAATAAAAGAGGCAAAGAGCTTGGTATTGCTGATTCAAAGTGTGCAAATAGTGAGGATAAAGACGATAATGTTATCGATATGGAAGAAGTGTTTGAGGTGGGTAAAGATGTCTATGCCATCCACAAAATTACTTTGGTATTGCCAAAGAACTCCAAAATTAAAAACTAAAAATAAAATAAACAGGAGTTGGAAATTATTTGTAGCTTTAGTAAAATTAAGATTAATTTAAATTTATTATTAGTATTGTTATAAGAGGTTGTTGCTACTTTTATTTATATTAATATAATATGTAATCTTAAGCCTAGAGGAGATAATAAATAATTTTTTAAGTTATTAGTTATTTACTTTTTTTATTAGCAACTAATAATTTATTTATTTTATTTTCAATTTGTTTCGAGGTAAGTGGTCCGTTCAAAAGGACAAATACAAAATAAAGCAAAATACACATCAATATAAAATTGTTGTGAATAAAATTTTGTATACTATTTTTTATACAACATAAAAATATGTCACATGGTTTACAATAAACTTTTGTTTTACCCTTTTAACCTGAAAGCTTCATCATCATCATCAATTAGCCTTTATTTGTCCACTGCTGAACGTAGGCCTCCTGTAAAATTTTCCACATATTTCGATCTTAAGCTTCTTGCATCCAGTTTGTGGTGATGCGCTTGATATCATCCGTCCATCTAGTCGGTGCTCGTCCTCTGCTTCGATATGCATCTTGCCTTGGTCGCCATTCCAGAATCTTTCTGGTCCATCTATCATCCGTTAATCTGGCAACATGTCCGGCCCAAGCCCATTTAGCCCTGGCTATTTTTTCAACTGCATCTGTGACTCCTGTTCTTCTTATTTCTAGGTTTTGTACTTTATCTCTGATGGTAATACCTAATATTGATCTTTCCATAGTGCGTTGTGTAACTCTTATTTTATCTATTGTTCTTTTTGTCAGTGTTTCTGCACCATATGGTAGAACCGGTAAAACGCACTGGTTGAAAACCTTTCTTCTTAAACAAACTGGGATTCTAGACTTAACAATGTTTTTCAATCTACCTAAGGCAGCCCATGTGAGACCTATCCTTCTTTGTATTTCAATTGTCTCAATATCTCCGCCTAAGCGAATCTCATGCCCTAGATATTTGCAAGCTATTACTTGGTCGATGCTATGGCTCTCAATCAAAATTTTACCGCTAACTACAAGGTTGGTCATAAATTTTGTCTTTAAGGTGTTAATTTTAAGACCAATGTTTTTGACATGGCATTTTTGTAGCTTTATCAACTCTATCAGATAATAAAACGATGTTATCGGCAAATTTTAGGTGGTTCAGATCTTCCCCATTTATATTAATTCCCATATTATCCTCTCTTTCCATTTGCTTGAACATATATTCAAGAACAGCTGTAAACAATTTAAGGGCGATAGTATCACCCTGTCTAATTCCACGTTCTATTCGAAACTTCTTGGTATCTTCATGAAGGCGGACAAAAGCTGTAGCAGTTTCGTAAATACTTTTAATTAAGGCGATATATCCGTAGTCAATGCGACAGTCAGCCAATGCTCGAAGCATTTTATGATGATCTATAGTATCGAACGCCTTTTCATAATCTACGAATATAAGAAAGATAGGTTTGTTATACTCTGTACACTTTTTTATTATTTTTTATCTTATCTACACCTGACAGCTTACATCTAACAAAATTTTGTAACTTGGATGCCATCGCAGGTATGTGTTGAATCTCTTATAACGATTATTTTGTCTACCACATAGGGTATTACTATAAGGGGTTAAAAATTGGGGACAGAAATTATTGGGGTGAAGATAGGGCAAGCAAAACAAATAGAAACTTTGGCGAACGGCCACTTAAGGTTTATTTGGATAACCAGGTCGTGGACAAGTGAATGACAAGGGGATTGGAATGGGGCAACCACAAAAATGAAACAAAGGGGAACTTACATAAATCACCTGGAACAAACAAAACACAAGAAGGTCCTTAAGCCATTTAAGATAAGGACACCGCTTTGAAAAATCTTCCTGCTGGATAAAAAATAGGCTCTTCCTTCCTAAAAAACACAAAAGGGGCTATGAACTTCCTTAACAAAAGAAATAAACAAATTGGTTCAAGGAATTAATCTTTGTTTTTTTAAAATAATTATGAATTTCATCTTCTTGACATTCATTGTTAACCCTTTCTCTTCACTAGCTGTGACTACCTTGTTTAAAATGGCTTGCAGGTATTCTACTGTCTCCGCCATTAAAACCGTATTATCTGCGGATCTAATATTATTAATTGGTTGGCCGGTAACTTTTATCCCAATCTCTTCTTCCTCCAATGTTTTCGTCATAATTTCTTCCAAATAGAGATTAAATAGCATTGGTGACAGCACACATCCTAGTCACACACAACTCCTTTTTTAATTTGAATTTCATTTGTTGTGCTATTTTCGATGCGTGCAACTGCCTTCTGATTATAATACAGAATAGATATTATTCTTATATCGCAAGTGTTTAACTGTTTAGCTTTCAAGATCTCTAAAAGTTGGTCCTGAAAAACACAAAAGGGACTATAAACTTCCTTATAGTTTATTTTTATGAACGAGAGAGTAATTAGCATAATTTGTACTGGTACTTCCGACCACTCCATGGGCGTGCTCAAGATTAATTGAAAAATTACTTTGAATAATTGTAAAAAATAAATGAATTTTTTCAGTGTTATAAAGTGTTATGTGTATGTAAACAAAAGTGACCTCTTTTATCACACACTATATTAGAACTGACTGGCCTACATTAAAAAGGGTTTTAAAAAATTCACATTTTTTTAATTTTTAAAAATTACAAAAGAGAAAAAGAGTTTTTAAAACCGTCTAAGGTATGTTAAATAGATGAATAAAAATATTAATATAAAACTTACAGCTACTTGTTACAAATCCAAATCAGATTCAGAAGATGAACTTTCAGAACCAAGATTTATAATAACTGGCTCGATCATTTTATCAGTAATATTGTCCAGCTTTCACATTTTTTCCTCTTCTTTAATAGTGTGATTTACTGCCTTTTCTCAGTTTTCAAGTTTTACATTATTTACGGCCTCCAAAAACAACTGTTTAACATCATGAATTTTAAAAGTGGTATTTTTTCTTGAAACTTCAATCTTTATCTGTGCCCATACCAGTTCAATCGGGTTTAATTCACAATGATATGGTGGGGATCTAAGTACTGTCATTCCACGATTTTTGGCAATTTCATCAATTTCGTATTTTTAAATTTTTCTTTATGAAGGGCACACAATGAATAAAGTTCCTTTCTTATAGATCCGGGATGATACGTAATATTTTTTGAACTCAGCCAATTCTGCAAGTCTTTTTTTAACCACTTGGTTGTGGGCAGTCCTTCTATAAGTCTGGAGTGATAACTTGCATTATCCATTACTATTACACAGTTCTTAGGAAGAAGATCTATCATTTGTTCGAACCATTCTTGAAAGACATCAGCGTTCATGTCTTCATGGTAGTCACCGGTACGAGTTGATTCAAAAGTTAATAAACCACCTTCAACAAAACCGTCTAAACTGCCAATGTGTACTATTATCAGCCTGCGTCCCTTTCCCGATAGTGGGTTTAAACCAGTAGATAAGTTATTTACTAAAGCGTGCCTTTGACTTGTAACAGTTTCATCCTGCCAAAATTTATTTGGTGTATGACCCTCGTTGATCCATGTTTCATCAAGATAAAATATTTTTCTTTTTTGGTTTCTCATTTCCTTTATGGTTCTTAGAAAATGTCTTTTCCATATGACAATATCGCTTCTATCTAATAAAATAGACTTTCTGGGATTCTTTTTCCAGCGGAAGCCTATTTCTTTTAAAAGTTTCCATAACGTACTTCGACTCATTTCTGGGTAATCCTTATCATCTTGAACTGAGACAAGAACTTTATCCAATGTTGGAAATTCTTGTCTAAAGAAGAATTCATGCACTTTCCTTCGAAGTCCTTCTTTAAAATAATATTCTATTTGAAATTTTGGTTTCCCTGGAGCTTTACGTGACATTTGAAAACTATCACATTTCTCTTCTTTAATAACTCTGTAAATCGTAGATTTCCCAACACCAAGTGTACTGCTAACTAACTCAACGGTCTCATCAACACTTTCACATAAACGTTTGTCTGTAAATGATTTAAAACAATTAAATATTAATGTTTTTTCATTAACTGTTAAAGGACCAATTTTTCGGCGTTTACACGGCACTTCCAAATTTTCCATAACACTAGTATACACAATAAACTGCACCTTGCAACTGAAGTACCTACTTTTAGTGAACTGTTAAGAATTTTGAATACGCCACTTGGACCTTCCTACAAAATGGAAAAACCCACTATCACATTTTCTGTGGAATAAGTTTAGAAGGTAATTATCTAGTCAATTACTGTCGTAGATTCCTGGAATTAAAGAATTAAATATTTGATTGTTGAAACCCTTACTTCGTAAAATGCACTCATTTCAGATAAAATACAACGTTTTATTTAATCTAAAGAATTAAACTTTATTTTGCAAATAGGTAGGTACTTATTCAACTTTTATTGGTTATATATAACCAATAAAATAAACATCTTACATTTCTTGCAAATTCATTAGTACCTGTTAACCTCCATGATTCCGACACTAGCAGCCTTATTTAGGGATTAGTAACCCTCACAACTATTGTATTCTATTCTGCTCCAACCTTTATACCTGGTGGTCATACTCAATTTAAAATTGTTTTCCTATATACTTCTGTAAACTTGTTGACAAATATCTGTTTTTCATTGAGTCACCCGTATCAACAGTTTAGGGATTTGCATACATAATTTATTGTTTTATTACTCTCTCATACATAAAAATACACTATAACAAAAGAAATAACAAATTGGTTCAGGGAAAAAAACTAAACACTCATTGATATCTCACCACAGACAGTTGCAAATATAAATGGTAATACAAAAATACTTATAAAGAGTTACAAAGATGAAGACCAAAATAACAAAGAAAAACACTTACTAGGTCCTATTCGTTTACAAACTCTAGAAGTTGGAATTACTACAAGAATTTACAATTGTTACTGGGCGATGTCAAAAATAGTGCTAACTGCCATATGTCAATACTAAATCTTAAAACTCGAGAACAGTTAAAATGACAGCTAAGCCACACCTTTAGATCTACAATTTTATTTATTACAATTTCCCTGATTGTTGTGAAAGCACTTATTATTAGAAAATATTTATTTTTTCTTTAAAAATCAAACACAAAAATTACCTGGATTTCAATAAAATTTCTGGAGTTAGGAACTGGACGTACTAA